CCAATCTCTCCTGTCTTGAAAGATATCCACTGAGAAATTTGCTGTTAATTAAATGGAGATTTTCCTATATGTGCTTTGATGCTTTTCTGTTGGTATTTTTTTAGATTTCTATGCCTTGGACTTAAAATATTTGACAACAATGTATCTCAGAGAGTAATTGTTTAGGCTGAATCTAATTAGGTTCCTTTAAGCTTAATAGACCTGTTTATTGATGTCTTGCCCAAGATTTGGGAAGTTTTCAGCTAGCATTTTATTAAACAGGTTTACTATTTCTTTTCTCCTCTCTTCTTTCTGGACTCTCTATAATGTGAATGTTTTTATTCTTCAAGGGATCCCATGATATACTTGAGATATTATTTGTCAGAGCTGTCAAATAAAGGCACATATCTCCATAATGGAGAGAGGCAATATAGACTTGGTGTTGGAGACTTTCATGGGGGTGGCTAAGGGATTAGAACAGGGCGGGTCCTAATGTGGGTGTTTAAGGGTGGGGTTGGTATGAGGGAGTGGTGAGCCTTTCTCAGAAAGTCCCTTGGGAAGGGAAAGCAAAATTTTTCTTAAGATGGCGACTGTCACTTAAGATGGCCACCCAGATGCTAAGTAAGCACCTGACATTCCCCCCTTTTTTGTTTCTTATTGGGGTCTTTAAGGGACAGGGGCATTGATCAATTTTCTGCAGCTTCTTCCTGCTGGGAAGGGGCAGTGTCTGGACCCTTGTTAGGAGAGTGGTGTTGAAAGGATAAAAGAAACTGAGGTTACAATGTAAAGGACCAGGCATTGTAAAGCTGCTTCTAAGCTGCAAAGCCTGAGTTGAAATGTAAAGGACTAGGTATTGTAAAGTTTCTAAACTGCATTCAAAACCTGAAATTCCTGGGACTGCCCAGTAGATATTCCCCCTGACCATTTAGTTGTTTAATAACCTAGGACCCTGTGCAGCTTGGCACATAGACATCTAAGGGCCCAAACCAATCAGTTTGAATGTACCCCCCTCCTTAGGACTGACCTATCACTCCMGCCCGACCTGTTCCCGCCAATGAATGTACTAATCATGTTTGAGAATTGTTGTTTGATTTTCCCTCGGTGTTATGGTGATTTGTTAAAGGGGACTGTGATGTATGTAAAGTCCCTGCCCTCCCTAAAAAAGTGTACTTAAGCACTGCTCAACCCCTGCTCGGGGCTCTGGGCCGCTCTCCCTTGTTGAGTGAGCACGGGGCCCCAGCGCGCTGGATCCCCAATAAAACCCCTTTTGCTGTTGCATGAGTCGGTCTCTTGGTGGTCTCTTCCTCCATTGCTCACCATACCCTTACAGTGTGTCACTGAGGCAATGGTGATGGTCAAGAGGTGCTGGGCGATGCTGACTGGGGACAGTCCAATTTTGGTGAGGGATTGGAAGTCCTGTAACAGAAGCTGGTTCACGGTTTGGTTAGAGATCCTTTGAATCTGGTCTTGAATAAATATAATGGCGCAGGGGGCAAGCATAAGCAAAAGGCCTATGACAAGGAGAGAGGTCAGGAAAGGAAGTGCCCACTGGAGAAGAGGGTTACTTAGCTGCCATCCTTCAGTTCCAATGGCAGTGGGAAGCTTTGGAACCTGAAGGAGATTGGAGATAAAGGAGGCATTAGTAATTGAGGTTCCCTTGGTGGTAAGGAATCCAGGCTCCTTCCAAATAACAGAGAGGGAGAGAAGTATGCGGAAAGCATATTTAGAGTCAGTGTAGACATTGAGGGAGGCTCCCTTTGCCAAAGGGAAGGCTCTGATGAGGGCAACAAGTTCAGCCTGCCGACTGGATGTATTATTGGGGAGGGCAGCCACTTCCACAACTGAGGTTAGAGAAACTATTAGATACCCTGCTGATGAACTCCCTCCTGAAGGAAGGAGGAGCCATCTGTGAACCCTGTGTATGTTGCCTGGAGCAAGGGACTTTCCTATACATAGGAGGGATGTGGAAGAAACTCCTCCAGAGTTTCAATGCATGAATGGGTAAGAGGAGAAGAGACAGAAGAGTTGTGAGGAGCAGAGGGGAGAGTAGCAGGGTTTAAAGGTGAGCACGTGTGGAAAGTAAGACTGGGATCTTCCACCAGGGAAATCTGTAGAGATAAAAGGCAGCAGGGGGGTAAGGAATATAAGCCCTTATAGATGAGGAGTTCCTTTAGGTTCTGGGGTGCCAGGATGGTGAGTGGGGCACCAAAGGTGAATTTCTTTGACTCCTTAATGAGAGGTTGCAGCCAATGTTGGTAGACAAGGGGAAAGTTAAATTGACACTTTTCCCCCCTTAGGTCCCCTATCAAGTCTACTCAGTCTGTCTTTTGTCAACGTTAGCTTCAGTGTGGCCTCAGCCAGGGAGATTGCTGCCTAGGGTTTTACAATATAGGAGAGTTCTGGGTCCCATGCTAGAAATAGGGTCTGTGGAGGAATCCAGAGCTTTAGTGGCAAGTAGAAGCTGGGCAGGTGAGCAAGGTGAGCAAAGGGAAGGGTTAGAGTAGAGAAAGAAGAAATCCTGTACAAAAGTCATGAAGATTAGAAGGTTGAATTGGTCTTTGGGCCTTTAGATCAGGAGCCAAATGGAGTGAGGCTCAGTGGGTGAGGAGGCAGCCAAGAGTTGAGTCAGATGGGATTTGGGCGTTCCCTATGGTGAGTTGGAGTCTGGGACTGAGAAGGGAGTCACCCACTACTTCCCTAGTCCTGGGCTTTGCCCATAGAGAGTCTTGGTTGCCTGGCCAGGGCTTTCGTGACCTCTGCTGAGGACCTGAGAACCAAGATCCAAGAGTGAACTCGCCAAGGGGAAGGGATTGGGAGTTCCCCATGGCAAGCTGGAGTGAACTCATTAAGGGGAAGGGATGGGTGAGAACCTTGGTGCGGGGCCAAGATCTAAGTTCTAGAGAGGAGACTTGTACCCAAATGAGTCTGGAGTGTGGACAAAGAAGAAGAAGAGCACTAGGTAAATGGAAGAAGGCGTGTGGTTGGTAATTGTCCTCCGGCCCTCAGGCCAGGATCCCAAAGCAGCTCAAATCCTTGGAGGGGAGAACAAAGCTAATGGAAGAATGTGATCAAAGCTGTTCTGCAAAAAGTTTTGAGATGGGGGCTGGGGATGTGGCTCAAGTGGTAGCACGCTCACCTGGCATGCATGCTGCCCAGGTTCGATCCTCGGCACCACACACAAACAAAGATGTTGTGTCCGCCAAGAACTGAAAAATAAATATTAAAAAATTCTCTCTCTCTCTCTCTCTCTCTCTCTCTTTAAAAAAAAATGTTTTGAGATGGATGTGAATGGGCTCATGGTGTGGGGCTACAGAAGGACTTGAAACATCTCAGACAGTAGGGTCCATCTCTAGGGGGTAATGGGAAGGCACTGGCTCATGGAATAGGGGAAGGATCTGGGGAGTGGCAGGCAAGTCCGGATGGAAGCATATATGAGGGGAGAAGGAGAGCATGGCTCCCAACTTAATCTTTACTTATAGAGCACTGCTCAGATATGGGCCTGCTCGACTTTCACTTGGGAGTGTACATGAACTAACTGCTCAGCTTTGAAGGATTATAGGGATCAATCTCTACCATCTAAATGTTCACAGTCTACCTCTTCAGCCTTCTGTGAAATAAAAGGCCAGAATCCAGTAAGTGTCTTACTGGAGAAACTCAATGTGCTTGAGACAAGCCACTTTACTGTGTCTTGTGTCCAAAATATAACATGGATTTAGGAAAATACACCTTTCAGAAATTTCACACAAGCTCACCAGTATCCCACAATTCCATGAAATATGGCTGATGGGACTGAATACAAGTTCAAACCTCCAAATGTCTACTTTACGAATGCAGCCCTGGGAAGTAACTCGGAGGACTTGAGTTCTGCTTCTCTTCCTCTCACTGGACCAGATCTCATCTTCAATTGACATCCAGCATCCACTAGTTCTCCAGAGAAAAGAATGCCTGTTGATTCTCAACTCACTTCAGAATTTCTTACAGTTTGATCTTCCCCAGCTCTCTGATGATGTCCAAGTATGGTTTTTAAGGATTAATTAGAGTTCTCTAGGCTTCTTTCCCCAGAGAAAATTAAACTTACCAAGACTTATTACATCCTATATATAATTATAAATATCTTCTTATCCTATTTTATAATCAAAGTTGCAAAGGAGTTGAGAGGCAAGTGCTTTGATCCTGTTTAGAGATTACAAAGACATTCTCCTTAAGTTTAAATCATATTCTCAAGAGGTTAAAGAGAATTGGTGAAAAAATTCAAATCTTCTGATGTCTGACTCCTTCCTGTGTTCTCCATCATACAAAGGTAAGTTTTATAGCCCTCAGAATTCAATCACAAAATAAGAAACCACACCCCTGAGGTAACCACAAGATGCTGATGATATTTAATAACACTCAGACTGAAAGCTACTACAGCTGCCTAGATGAAAACACTGATATGATGCTGATACAAACTTCAAACAGTTCCCACAGGCATCCAGTCTCTCTCTGGTTCCCCCAAGGGAAGAAAAGGCTAGGGAGGACTGCAAAGGGGTGTGATTTGTGACACCATGTGACAGAGCAGAATGAGAAGGGAAGGTGGTTTGGAATTGAGAGATGTCGAGTACACATGCACCCCCCCATACACACTTGACCCATCCATGCTGTAGGCCTTTGCTAAAGAAACACAAAGAACCATATCCATGAAATATAAACCACTAGGGTGGGAGGTATTTGGTGGTAGAATGCTTACCTAGTGAGAGCAAGGCTCTGAATTCAATCCCCAGTACAGTTAATAGAAAGAAATAACAAAACAAACTACTAAAATTGCTTGAAATAGTGAAAAGTGGGAATGAGCTAGGAATTACATATATTAAATACTGAATTTTTATGATCTTGAAATGATCTGAACTTTCTGTCAGTGCTTTCTAAAATCTGCAATAACATGTCTATTGCCAGGATACTAATATTAATGGATGGGAATTTAATTGAGGATTCGGATTATTTTCCAAAATTGCAAAATTTTGTTTTTCTGTTCCTCATAAAGTTTAAACATTGAGCTCCTCTGCCTCAGATAAAGTTGAAGTCGAAGCCCTCAGCTGTTGCAGCTCAGGTGAAGATTGATCACCCAATTCTTCCATCCCAGGTGAAGTTTTATTGTCCAGCTGTTCCATATCAGGAGGAGTTTGATCACCCAACTCTTTCATCTCAGGTGAAGTTTGAGCACCCAACTGTTCCTTCTTAGGTGAAGGCTGCACATTTTCCTCTTTTTTCTTAAGCTGTGTTTTCTTTGTAATTAAAATTAAAAGCCACAAACATATAAACAAGAGCCAATAAAGTAATATAAAAAGCGGTGTTCTCTTCCTCGCTCTCCATTCTTGCACTTCTTTTGCAGGGGGTGGACCACTGTCAACACTCCCTCCGTGACCATCTCTTGTGCAGTTTGGGGGTTCCCAGTTAGGGTCACAATGGCAGTGGTGTTTGTTGTTGCAGATCCCTTTCATAGCACAGGTCTCTGGTGAACAATCACTTGCCCACAATGACATAGACACACACTTCCGGTGTATGCACACTTGTCCATTACCACACTCTGTGCCATCTTTCACATCACCAATATCTGGTATGGTCATCCCAAAATGATAGTCAGTACTCCAACAGGTCACACCATTGAAGTCAATCCAATGTACAGTAGTGTGACTTCTCAAAGAGGGAATTTCTTTCACGTTCTCACACTGAACTCTTCCACAGAGGAAATCTGATATATTACACATAACATAGTGGTCATCACTGAGACCACAGTTACCAAAGCGGTCACCTCGGCTGTTCATTTCTGTGTAGCAACTCTCCTGTGCACTCCTGGATTCTTTGCCAAAGATCTGTCTGCACTGTTCGTCACGTGCATTGCATCTCTTCTCATGGCAGTAGCCACCGCCCATGCAACGGACCCCATCCTGCACATACACATCCTCTGGACACTCAGGTGAGGTGCCATTGCACCACTCTGGAAGATCACACTCACTGACATTTTCTCTACACACTTGACCTGGTGGCAAGAGAAGGCAGTCTTCGCAACAAAGCCCAGAAGCACATTCACTCCCAAATTTCAGAGTGCAGTTTTCCGAACAACATGGATGGTTTGTACACAAAATTGGGGATCCACAGTCACACTCCTCTCCTTCTTCAACCACACCATTCCCACAGCCAGTCCCCCTGAAGATGTCCTCTTGTTTTGGTGCGTTGAGCATACAGTTCATCAATTTAAAGTTTTCCCACATTTGAGCATAACTGCAGTTGCTGAATCTTGTGCCATCTGATCGTTCTTCAGACATCATRCAATGGCGTTGCCCACATTGACATATCCATACATCATGGTACATACCCAGATTATGACCCATCTCATGTGCTATGGTAAGTGAGACTTCATACAGGTCATCATCTGGGAAACTATCCACTCCACATTCCAAACCAGGTATGCATACTGTTGAAGCATAGGCTATGCCAAAATACATACCAAAATTTTGTTTTACCAAAAAATGTGCAAGATCATGTTTTATGCGAGAATCTAGGTTGTCTCTCTTCCAATTGCAAAACTCATACAGGGTTCCAAATATGTTGTTACTCACTTCAAAAAAGTTCTTTTCATTCCAGACTTCAATTCCAAGTAAAATCAAATCAACACCCAATGGACTTAAAAGGGAATGTATGTTATTGACAAGCAAAAATACTTCTTGTATAACAAATGAAACATTACTTTGCTTATAAAGGAATCGCTGATAGTCTACAATCAAAACTGTTTCAAGATACCATGTGTGGGTCCACCAGCCTTCAAAACCACTTTGCCTCAGAATGGAATTATCACGCCTTTGGAGCTTCAGTTGTCGTGCTAGTTCTTCTTCTGTTAGTCCACATCTCATGGGTGGGAATTGTGTCTTCTCTCTGTGCATCTTATAAACCAGATGTTCAAATGTGGCAGAAAGTCTTTTGGGTTTGATTTCATAAACATTGTCATGGATCTCTAACATACCTTGAAAGCCCCCCAAACAGGTGCTAAGAGCAACCAGGGATTCTGGGTCCCCTTCCACATAGCCATCATAGTAGCAGTCACTCTGGACAAAAGGGTGGTCCTCAAGCACAGCACCCTGCTTTGTGTAGGTGAACACAGAGAAGGGTTTGGACACCAGAAGTTTCTTGGCCTTCATGTGGACAATGTGTTTCTTGCCTCCAAAGTGAAGACTGTAGGAGATCCAGTCAGGGGGTCTCAATCCTCTATGGGTGCCAGTAATCCTCAAGGGTATCACTACTTCTGGGAGGCTATGGTGTTGAGAGTGGCCAATCTGGGCCCATCCAGAAAGGAAAAGCAAGATGCCCAGGCAGAGGTGGAGGACAGTGATCCTCATATGCACGAGGGCCTCACCCACAGCCATCATGGTTTATGACTGGAGGCAATGGGGCAGGGCAGGAGGTGCTGTTATCCTGTCTCCTCCCTTTGATTTGGTTGCAAGCAGCACTGACCTTTAATTGGATGTCTTCTGGCAGRGTCAATCCATCAGAGCAACACAACTAAAAGAAAAAATGAAAACAAGGGCAGAGATGGGGTGGCTAAATTATGAAAAGTCTAAGGTGGAGAAGAATAGCAGGGTATGGGTTAAAATGCATTAGTGTTTGGTTTAGGGTATGACTCCATATAATGCACTGGATTTGCTCTTTAGTTTGGGTGAGGTGGAGTCAGACTGTGGGAGTTGAAAAGAATGACAACTGCCCATTGGTTGAAAATTGCCATACATAGACGAAGGACTCGTGGGTTCATGAACCATTCTCTAAATACATGTACAAGTGGGAACATTTTCCCAATAAATATTTAAAACAAGAGTCTGAATGAAAAGCTGAATATATACCTTGTTTTGATGAGGAATTACAATATATACAAATTGACTTGGAATAAATAATAATTAGTTGCCTTTCCTATATCAAATGACTATTTACACACATTACTCAGGAGAAATATACAAAACAATTTTATATACATTACTTTTCTTCATGATCCTTAATATGGGCTTCCATGCAACTAATTATGTTTTGTTTGATCTTCTTCCAATTCTGTTGGATTTCCATGTCAAAGCATCAATTGTCCTTCAAAAATATTGGAATCTGCTCATAATGGATATTTTCAGGCCTTAAAACAAGCAATAGTGGAGTTGGAAGGGGGAATACATAACTTGGGTTGATAGATGTTACTGAAAGGTGTTTTATATGATTACACTGATACACAAAATACTATTTTCAAAATATCTGGCCCTATATAAGGAAAAGTAGATCAAGCTATCTGGAAGAGGAACAGAAATAGGGAGGGTGGGAGCAAAATAAAGTGTCTCTTAATATGAAAAGTAAATCAATGAACCCTGGGAGAATGGAGGAAAGTTTTGGTGCAGATGATGTTGTGCCAGAACATAGGCATCAAAATCCCTGGCATTTCAGGATCCTGAGGAAACTGCTCCAAGATCAATCTTCCCATGGATTTGTCTCAGAAATGACAAAACCTACAAAAATACAGATTAAACAATCATTCTGAGAGTACAAATATCCTATAATGGAAGAGTACAAATGAGAAATCTGATAATAGCACACTTCCTGTCTGATAATACTGATTTGTTACTTTGTTATCAAAGTAGGAAAGATACTGCAGCATATGYAGTTACTGTGCAGCACACCTGGGAAACATCAAAGTATGATACAACCTGGAATAAGTTAATGATATGCAACATAAATTTACACAGTGTTTGTAACAAAGATATATTTTAAGAATCTGTTAGATTTCATTCAATAGTTTCCATATAAAATGCCTATTTGTCTTGACCTAGAGAAAGTATCCATGGTACTTGTGACATCATTAAAGGAATGGTAACATAAAAGTGGTGACATTAAGAACCACAATGCTGGTTGGGGGAGAAAGCAACAATGGCAGCAGAGGAATGTGGAATCTACAATGAGGGATCTAAAACACACTGATCAAACATCACTTTCCATAGTAAAAAATTCAAACACAAAAGAGCACAGATTCAGCACCTGTTGCTTCCTGGACCCAGGACACATTTCACCTTAATTTTTATTTCATCTTGATGTTCTTTGTGTTTTCTCTCTAATATTTTTTCCTATCACTATGGAATCATCTACTCATGAAACATAGCAGCAGTCTCTCCCCTGTTAACACTTCTTTATGGAGAACTCCTTTTTCCTAGTTAATTTAACCTAATTTTATAAGTCAACATTGGGAAGCCCACCAGGGGAGATGTCTTCCTTTCTCAGAAACCCCTCTGTCTGACAGATCAGATATTCAGTCGTACCTTGCTTTGGTTGCCAAAGCCACTTTAAATCACAAAAGTAGCAGCCATCTCCTTCCACCATTATTTCCTATTCTTCCTAATTCTCTCAACAACCTCCTGATCAGTGCTGCTGAGCCAGAAGGTGTTGGGTGTCTACTGCTACTTTCTTCTCCACCAATAATCTTATCTACGTTCTCGCTGTGTTAAGCAAATCTTCATGAAATTTAAAAGGTTGGCATTAAAAGTAGTTATTTGTGGGGGCTGGGGTTGTGGCTCAGTGGTAGAGTGCTCACCTAGCATGAATGCACTGAGCTCAATCCTCAGTACCACAAGCTCCCAGGTGTGTGAGAGTATGTTTCTGTTACGACTTGTGGTCAACTGTCTTTAGCCATTGATCATGTCCTATATCATGTCATCATGCTTGGCCATCTTAACTCTCACATATTAGTTGTCCATAACTTAATCTTAATTAAAAATTATTCATCGGTTTCATAGAGGACACACATAATTTTCCTTCCATGTTCTCCTATTTTTCAAGTTCCCATCACTGATCTTTCATTCCTATAACCCAGCTCAAGACTCCGTTGGTTCAACCCCTGTTGACCGAAGTGCTCAAACCAATCTAGAGGAATGCTCTCACCTTTTTTCACCACTGTGTCAACACACGGCCAATACTTCTAAGGAAATAAATCACAGCAGAGTCTATTTAGCAGGATGGGTAAGAGGGGAAGATACACAGAACTAGAATAAGATAGCCTGATAGCTCAGCCTAAAGGGTGAAGTCAGGAACATATTGATTCCCCCCCCCCTGGGTTTTTTTAAGGGAATTTTTAATATATGACAAGTAATTTCAAAAGTAGGAGTACATATGGACAAAGCTTAGTAATTTAGGATTTACTTTTGTAAAAGCCTGACAAATACTAATATTTTAATTGAGGTTTGAACATTAAAACATAAATATAAAACATGAAACATCCAAAGTTAACACTGATGTAGCATACCCAACTTGGATTTAGATACTCATCAATTTACATTTTATAGAAATACATTTTAAAATTTTTATCAATGCTTAGAGTATATACTATTCTTCCTACCCAAATCTTCATGAAATTTAAAAGGTTGGTATTAAAAGTAGTTATTTGGGGGGCTGAGGTTGTGGCTCAGTGGTAGAGTGCTCACCTAGCATGCATGCACTGAACTCAATCCTCAGTACCATATAAAAATAAAATAAAGATATTGTGTCCATGTGCAACTAAAAAATTTAAAAATTTTAATAAAAGTAGTTATTTGGAACTGGGGTTGGGGCTCAGTAGTAGAGCACTTGCCTAGCATATGTGAGGCACTGGGTTCGATTCGTCGTACCACATATAAATAAATTAAGTAAAAATAAAAGTCCGTTTACAACTAAAAAAATTTTTTAAAGAGTAGTTTTTTTTTTCTTGAATATTCTAAACATGCCAATTTGGATTAACTTTCAAATTTTAAGGGCATAAAAGATACAAATAGAGTACTCAAGAATATGTTTTAATACAGGATAATTCTCTTTACAATCATGACAAAAATACCTTCAATTTTCATACATAAAAAAAGAACTTAAGCAAACAAAAGTTATTTTGGGTCAAGTTGTTTCTTAGTAAGATAATATATCATATGTGAATCAATTTTTCAGCCAACAGCATTCAAAAATAATTTGCATTATTAATTGTTATACATTGCATTTACATAGTGAAAGAAGATGGACAAAAACTTTCAGAAACAAATAAACAACAACAATAAAAACTGACAAGTATTCCAACTCCTAAGATAAGAAGTAGGATATCTGCAAATTTAAAAATTTGAAATGTTGCCTGGAAAATTTTTATGTCTTACTTGTACTCTCAAATTCATTTTAACTGCTTGACATATATAATTTAATACTTCAAAAGACTGTAGCTAAATTAATAATATTTATAGAATGTTACCTCTCTGGGTAGTCATGTTTTATACAATAGTTGTCAATTAAGAAGAAATCACCTGATAGTTTTAATTGCAATCTATGATTGATGAATGGAGTAATAATCTATTCAGTAATTTAAACCAATACAAATAATAATCTGGTAAAGCTCACTGTGCAATCATGTCCCTGGTAAAGCCACAGATTTGATGGATATTTCACTGAGTTGGATTACATGTTTCTACGTGTGTTATTGATCAACCAAAATAGGTATACAGTGTCAAGTTTTTTTTCCTGTATCTTTTTTTTTTTTTAAGAGCCGCTCAATAATTTGAGGCAGGGGTTGGTTAGTACAATACAGAGGAAAAGCACTTAATACTAATGCCAGTACTTATCACATTAGGGCAGTAACTAAGGGTATTACTAATTTTTGTATTATTTGCTTTTCTTTAGAACATAAATCAAAGCTATTAACTTGAACTTGAGGTATATACATAATACATACACAACTTTAAGCAAAATACTTTTTTCATAAGTAACATTACATTTTAATATATTGGAAACAGTATCTGTGCTGATTTGTATTTTGACTTAGTGGAACAAGAAGAGAACAATTTGAATCAAACTGTGAAATATATCAAAATAGATGTAATGTTTTGAACTACCAACAATAAAAAAAAAGAAGAGAACAATATTCAATTAGGGAGGGATAATATTGATAATAAAGCTCTTAACGTTCAAATTTTCTTCCTCTCCCTTTGTACTTAGGACGGGCTATACATTGTCCCGAGAGGATTCATTGAGTAAAATGTCAAATGCAGCTTTCATACAGTATTTTGGAAGGAACGAATGAGAAAGCAAATTGGAATATGAGACTTCATCTTGTTTGCAAATAAGTGGTTTAAATTTTTCCTCTTGTAGAAAAAAAAATTTAAATCAGTTCATTATATGTATATCTAAACCATTAATTTTTGCAGTTTTCAGGGAAAGTCCAGCACTTTGTTTATACAAGTCTATGAGAAGAGCTCAGTAGAGATCATCTAATCTTAAATCGTGACATCCATTCAAGTTCTTGGCATAGTCCCTCCCCAGTAAGAGTGCAACCTGCCTGGGTATGCCCCTCATGATCTTTAATAGAAGTTAGCTTCAAAAACTAGGAGATTTATGCTAC